GGCATTGACCTTGAGTTTGGAAGTTGTAGTTCACCTACATCCAGAGACTACCATGGACTCAAACAATGATGGATCTGGACCCAACTTGGCATGAATATTCCATATGCCAAAATATGAACACAGATGGAGTTTGGGGGAAATAGACCTTGACATTTGGGAGTCGTAGTTACTGGGATTTATAGTTCACCTATAATCAAAGAGTGTTCTGAACCCCACCAACGACAGAATTGGGGCAGACTTCCCACACAGAACCCCATGACCAAGAGAAAATACTCAAGGCCATCCACTCCAACTCCCTTCACCAGGACAAGAAAACATAATCAAAGCCCTACTGACAAAGAGCCATCCAGCCATAGATATAGATAGATATGATTCACACACAGAGAGATATAGTATCATAGATTTAAAAGGGATCCCTGAAGAAGGACAAGGATATCTTGCATGTTCCAGAGTAGGCAAACCAGACAATCTCCACATCAACACTGACAAAGAAACAACAAGAAATACTGTTTACCCACAAGCAGGAAGACATTACATATATTAGAAACCAACACTTTCTCATTACTTTATTTTCCAGATCACCAGACTGGGCCAAAGCAATGCGTGACAGGGGACAGCTAGTATATATATAAAAATGCTCTGTGCATAATAAGTATCTTAAAAACAAAAGAACCAATGAACAAAATCACATCAAATTTGGCAACAAAACATCTCACTACACAAGGAATGACCACCACTCAAAAATTATGATTTTGTCATTTGGGAATTGTAGTTGCTGGGATTTATAGTTCACCTACAATCAAAGAGCATTCTGACCTCCACCAATGATGGAATTGAACCAAACTTGGCAGACAGAACCCCGTGACCAACAGAAAACACTAGAAGGGTTTGGTGGGCATTGACCTTGGGTTTTGGAGTTGTAGTTCACCTACATCTAGAGAGCACTGTGAACTCAAACAGTGATGGATCTGGACCAAACTTGGCATAAATATTCAATATGCCCAAATATGCATACAGATGGAGTTTGGGGAAAATAGACCTTGACATTTGGGAGTTGTAGTTACTGGGATTTATAGTTCACCTACAATCAAAGAGCATTCTGACCTCCACCAACGATGGAATTGAACCAAACTTGGCACACAGAACTCCCATGTCCAACAGAAAACACTAGAAGGGTTTGGTGGGCATTGACCTTGGGTTTTGGAGTTGTAGTTCACCTACATCTAGAGAGCACTGTGAACTCAAACAGTGATGGATCTGGACCAAACTTGGCATAAATACTCAATATGCCTAAATATGCACACAGATGGAGTTTGGGGGAAATAGACCTTGACATTTGGGAGTTGTATTTACTGGGATTTATAGTTCACCTACAATCAAGGAGCATTCTGAACCCCACCAATGACAGAATTGGGGCAAACTTCCCACACAGAGTCCTCATAACCAACAGAAAACACTGTGTTTTCTTGTGGTTTCTGGCGACCCTTCTGACACCTCCTCGCAACCTCCCCCCCCCAGGGGACCCAAACCCCAGGTTGAGAAAGGCTGCCTTAAGGTCATCCAGTCCAACTCCCTTCACCAGGGCAAGAAAACACAATCAAAGCTCTCCTGACAAAGAGCCATGCAGCCATTCACACACACACATATAGGTATATGACAGATGCAGTATCAAAGATTTGAAAGGGACCCCTAAAGAAGGGCAATGATATGTTGCATGTTCCAGAGTAGGCAAACCAGACAATCTCCACATCAACACTTGCAAAGAAACAGCAAGAAATACTGTTTACCCACAAGCAGAAAGAAATTACATATATTAGAAACCAACAGTCTCTAATTATTTTATTTTCCAGATCACCAGACTGGGCCATAGCAACACGTGGCAGGGGACCGCTAGTACTGTGTATACAGTTGCAGTAATAGCATTATTCGAAGCCAGTTGGGAGTAAGCTCCCGACCACTTGTCTAGTTTGCTGTTGACGTCTGCAACCTGAAAGACAGTTGCATCTTTCAAGTAGGAAATTTAGGTACAGCTTATTTTGGGGAGGCTAATTTAACTAATTTATGACGCCATAAAACTCTCCAGCAATGTGCAAAAGATTGAGGAAGTACTCCATCAGTATCACAAGTGGAAGGTGAAGCGATAGCTCCCCTAGTGGCCAGAATTCAAAGCATACCCTGATGAAGCTGGAAGTTAAATAGCCTCTGTGTGTCTGTCTATATATGTTGTGTGTCTATGGCATTGAATGTTTGCCATGTATATGTGCATTGTGATCTGCCCTGAGTCCCCTGTGGGGTGAGAAGGGCAGAATATAAATAATGTAAATAAGTAAATAATAATATATCATAGAGTTGCAAGAGATCACAAGGGCCATCCAATCCAACCCTCTGCCATGCAGGAAAAGCACAATCAAAGCACTCCTGACAGATGGCCTTCCAGCTTGTGTTTACAGCCCCCAAAGAAGGAGACTCCACCATGCTCCGAGGCAGCAGTATATCACAGATGAACTACTCTTACGATCAGGAAGTTCTTCCTAATGTTTAGGTTGAATCTCTTTTAATTTGGGCCTGGCATTCTTTTACTGATTGTAGTCCCGTATATTTAATAACTGGCCTGCTTATCAGGAAGAAAGGATTTAAGTTTCCCCCCATGACCATGACCTCAGGCAAGGGAAAGATTCACTGGCTGTCCTAGAGGGGAAGACATTTAGTTTGTACCACACCATGCATTATTACAGACATCACATAATAAATAATAAACATAATAGCTACTATACAACATGAGGAAGGAATGCAGGCAAGGAGGCAAACATTAGCTCAGCAACTGGAGTATTTTGACTCCAGTTGGGTTCCAGCAATAGACAGAGATGATGGCGGAAATGATAACCACTTTGATCAGGGACCACTTTGACCAGGGACCACTTGACCAGGGACCACTTTGATCAGGGACCACTTTGACCAGGTACCACTTTGACCAGGTACCACTTTGACCAGGGACCACTTTGATCAGGGACCACTTTGATCAGGGACCACTTTGATCAGGGACCACTTTGATCAGGGACCACTTTGATCAGGGACCACTTTGATCAGGGACCACTTTGACCAGGGACCACTTTGATCAGGGACCACTTTGATCAGGGACCACTTTGATCGGGGACCATTTGACCAGGAAAAACTTTGACCAGGGACCACTTTGACCAGGGACCACTTTGACCAGGGACCACTTGACCAAGGACCGCTTTGATCAGGGACCACTTTGACCAGGGACCACTTTGACCAGGGACCACTTTAACCAGGGACCACTTTGACCAGGGACCGCTTTGACCAGGGACCACTTGATCAGGAACCACTTTGACCAGGACCACTTTGACCAGGGACCACTCTCCAACATTAGTACCAAAAGGGTTACGAATCAGTTTTTGGTCAACTTTAGATTTGGTTTGGTTATCTGGGGTGCTGATTCAGAAAATTGCTTTGGGTAGACCACATCAGCTCTAGTTTCCGTTACAGAACATATGCCCTCCAGTAGTCACCATCTACTCACCAACAGAAAACCATATTTAATAAGCCTTGGCACTATACACTCGTTGCAACAGTGTAGTAATGGTCAAGCCATGGACCATATTTTAGTTCTTGCGGACAACTGGTGGTCCACGGACGACAGGTCGGGAACCACTGTTATAAGGTATCATATGGAGAGATTATGTTTCTGAGTGATGTTTAAATACCCTCAAGGTATCTGACCCCATCTGATCTTGGAAGCTAAGCAGGCACAGCCCTAGGTAGTACTTAGATGGGAGGCTTTCCAGAAATTTGCTGTAGGCCTTATTTCTGGACCTTACATGGATAGATAAAACTACATATAATATTCTCAATGAAACTAACAACAGAGCTACGGAGAAAAGAATATGGCTCGTACAAGAGATCCAAAGTGAGTAAGTGAAACCATGGACCAATTCAACTGCATATGTAGGTTCCACAAATATACAGGAGCCCCCATTGGTGCAATGACTGAAGCAAGACTGAAGACCAACAGGCCTGAGGTTTGAATCCTGGGGCAGCACGGATGAGCTCCCTCTGTCAGCTCCAGCTACCCAAGTGGGGACATGACAGAAGCCTCTCACAAGGATGGTAAATCATCGAACATGGGCAATATCCTTGCGGACAGCCAATCTCTCACACTAGAAGTGACTTGCAGTTTCTCAAGTTGCTCCTGACATGAAAAATAAAACGGATATGCATATGTCAATTTTCTGCTAGCAATGGTCTTGAAATGCTGTTGGGAAGCCAATTCCTGAAACCTACAGTGCGTGTGGTGGATGGACATATTGACTACTGGATTCTGAAACTGTATTCCCAAACTGTGGTTCTTAAGTCATGCTGAAAGCCGCCTCATTCTGTCTCTGCTGTGTGTCCAGGTGTTCCCTGAGAGGGATCACCGACAGGTCAGCAGTTCGATTCTGGGGAGCGGGGTGAGTGCCTGTTTGTCTGCTCCAGCTTCCCATACAGGGACATGAGAGAAGCCTCCACCTTAGTGTCTCCTGGGCAACGTCCTTGCAGACGGTCAATTCTCTCACACCAGAAGTGACTTGCAGTTTTCTCAAGTCACTCCTGACATGGAAAAAAATGGATACGCATATGTCAATTTTCTGCTAGCAAAACGGAGGTGATTGTTTAATGGAGAGTGGTTTCCCACACTTGAATGGTCTTGAAATGCTGTTGGGATGCCACTTCGTGAAGCCTAAAGTGAGCGTGGTGGATGGACATATTGACTACTGGATTCTGAAAGTTAGATTTCCCAAACTGTGGTTTTTACGTCATGCTGAAAGCCACCTCATTCTGTCTCTGCTGCGTGTCCAGATGTTCCCTGAGAGGGATCACCTTCTCAGCCTAAGGAATCCCACTTGACCACTTGACCAGGGACAACTTTGACCAGTAGAGTCCATTGATTTCTACTAGGAAAAAGAGTCCGCCTCATGCTTCTAGCTCTGTTCTGCCTTTACCTCGGCTGGTGGGGATGTACTGCTCCACGACGCTGACGTACAGCTGCAGGGTGAGCTGTGGGGTGGAGCCCAGGAAGGCCTGGATGACGGCCATGCGCTTGAAGGCGTTGCGATGGGTGGCCAGCCTGCGCACCGTGTGCCCCACTTCTTGCTCCAGCTCAAACTCGGAGTCCTTGTGAATATGCTTCTTGCGGGTGATGGTGACGTAGGGTTCTTCCTCATGACCCAACTGGTAGAAGACCACGATGGCCTCCAAGCATCTGCAGTAGAGAGAAATATTATTTGTTTGTTTACTTCATTTATATACCGCTTTTCTCAGCCCTTAGGAAACTCAAAGCGGTTAACAACAGCAAAAATTCAATGCTAAACATCATAAAAATAATTAAAGGACAGTTAAAACAGTAGTATGATAAACAATTAAGCATCAATATAACATCTCATTAGCGTCTCATCAGTAGAATCAGAATCCAATCTCATCATCCGTTATTCCGTGTTCCTATATTCATTACACTGCTTAGTTGAATGCCTGCTCAAACAACCAGCTCTTCACTTTCCTCCGAAATGCCAATAGGGAGGGGGCCAATCTGATATCTGTAGGAAGGGCGTTCCACAGCCGAGGGGCCACCACTGAGAAGGCCTGTCTCTCGTCCCCGCCAGGCGTGCCTGTGATGCAGGCAGGACTGAGAGCAGCGCCTGCCCAGATTATCTTAATGTCCTAACTGGTTCATAGGAGGAAATGCGTTTGGACAGGTAAGTTGGGCCAGAACCGTTTAGGACTTTATAGGCTAACGCCAGCACTTTGAATTGTGCCTGGTAGCAAACTGGCAGCCAGTGGAGCTGGCGCAACAGAGGAGTTGTATGTTCCCTGAGTGCCGCTCCTGTTAGCATCCTGGCTGCCGAGCGCTGGAATAGATTTAATTACTTAATTTTATTTATTTATTTATTTGCTGTATTTATATACCATCCCTCTCAGCCCGCAAGCAACTTGGGGTGGTTTACAGTTGGTGCCAAGACCATAAAATACAATTTCAATACAATAAAAACGATCGGATAATAAAACCATAACAAAATCAATAAAAAACATGAACATTAGGGTCTCCTATTAAAAACATTGTCCAATCACATCGTCCAATCATTCCATTTTCCTATGTCTATTACACTAGGAGCCCCCGGTGGCATAGTGGGTTAAAGCGCTGAGCTGCTGAGCTTGCTGACCGAAAGGTCGCAGGTTCGATTCCGGGGAACGGCGTGAGCTCCAGCTGTCAGCCCTAGCTTCTGCCAACCTAGCAGTTCGAAAACATGCAAATGTGAGTAGATTAATACCTTCCAGCGGGAAGGTAACGGCGCTCCATGTAGTCATGCCAGCCACATGGCCTTGGAGGTGTCTATGGACAATGCCGGCTCTTCGGCTTAGAAATGGAGATAAGCACCACACCCCAGAGTCAGACATGACTGGACTTAATGTCAGCCAAGTCTTGACTCTCTTTCGAAATGTTAAAAGGGAGGGGGCCAATATGATATCCTTAGGGAGGGCGTTCGATAGTAAAATCGTTATTCAATTGCATCGTCAGGTAGTTCCATGGTTTCATATAATTATGCTGGGTTAGCAAAGGCCTGCTCAAAAAGCCAGGTTTTAACCTTTCTTTGAAAAGTCAGGAGGGAGAGGGCCGATCTTATATCCCTGGGAAGGACATTCCACAGTCGAGGGGCCACCACTGCGAAGGCCCTGTCTCTCATTCCCACCACCCGTACTTGTGACAAAGGTGGGACCGAGAGCAGGGCCTCTCCAGACGATCTTAAAGTCCTGGAGGATTCATAAGGGGAGATGCAGTCAGTTTGCAAATCCATTTTCTTGGGCTGCAAACATCAACCTTGAAAAGAGATTGGAAAAGCGGAGAGAAAGACGCACAGTACAGATGATACTAGTGGAAACCCACTTGCTCTCAGCTGTCTAGAGCTCCACTTGTTCTTGGTTTCCTTCCGATTCATTATCTCTGGCTGCAGAAACAATAACCATAACACACTCCCCGAATGTTAGCATTGAATGACACTCGGATGATGTTATCAGCACCCAGTGTATTCACGATGCTCGAGATATTCCCACAGCCTTAAAGAAATATTTCCCCAAAGCAAAGTATCATGCTGCTGAGGACACACCCAAAAAACCAGAATGATGGGATGGTGTAACTGGGGACAAGGCAGGCTTTCTCCCTCCGTGCTTCAGTCGGACCATAAGTATTTTTAGTTGTTCTCGTCTCAGTATCAACCTTATGAACAACCTCCTATGAGACAAAGTTTAGCAAAGCCAGTGGATAAGCGGGGGGGATTTATAGTTAACTAAACGTCCCCTGTCACGCGTTGCTGTGAAATAACACATTCTGGTCTCAAAAGGAAGTGATTAGTGACTGTAAATGGGAAAGGAAATATTTATTGCTTTCTTTTACTGCTTTCATTCCCGGTCACCCCATGGCCGCAGGGCGTGTAGCCCAACTTCTCGATTTGTACAAAGCTTCCTTCTAGATCCCTCAAGCAAGATATGGACATGTGACTCTTACACCACTACCTTCCTTGTATTATTGTTTACCATCTATGCTTGACAATGAAACTAGCCAGAATGGAAAAGTTTTGGTGAGTCAAAAGAAGGTATAGAGTTTGGATATTAGAGCCTAAACCTAGGTAAGATAAAGTTAAAGGTTTCCCCTCAACATTAAGTCTAGTCATGCCCGACACTGGGGAGTGGCGCTCATCTCCATTTCTATGCTGAAGAGCTGGCATTATCCGTAGACATCTCCAAGGTCATGCGGCCAGCATGACTGAATGGAGTGCCGTTGCCATGTGGCCAAAGCGGTACCTATTGATCTACTCACATTTACATGTTTTTGAAATGATAGGTTGGCAGAAGCTGGAGCTAACAACAGGAGCTCACCCTATCCCACAGATTCAAACCACTGACTTTCTGATCAGCAAGTTCTGCAGCTTAGCAGTTTAACTCACTGCGCCACCGTGGTACATTTACCCAAAAATTAGCCCCAGTGTTTTTTTAAGTAGAGAAAGTGTAATCCTTTACTTTCTACTTGCCATCCCCTGCCACGAGTTGCTGTGGCCCACATGGGGGTTTTGTGTGGGAGGTTTGGCCCAATTCTATCATTGGATCTGCATAAAACTTGGCACACTACCTACATGGCCAACATTGCATACTAGTGGCGTTGGGGGGAGCTGTTTTTGAATTTTTTGAGTTGTAGTTCACCAACACTCAGAAAACACTCTGTGCCAAGCTGGTAATGGAACTAGTAAACTTGCCGCACGGAACTTGTCTCAGAAAGAGCCCTCCCCTTGGCCACGAGGGCAGCCAATCACAGTGGAGGAGGTCTTTTGGTGAGAGGATTCACCATCTGTTTCCAAAAGGGAAGAGAAGGATAGGCAGAGAGATCTTCAGCCCTCTGTGCCAAAGAAGTTCCTGAGACAATCAGAAATACGTGTTTTCTGGGGGTCTTTGGTGACCCCTCTGAAACCAACCCCCCTGCAATGCCCCCAGGGGCCCCGACCCCCAGGTTGAGAAAAGCTGATCCAGTTTGATCATGTATCTGCCTTCAACAAGCCCTATGAGGTGCGGCTTAAAGAGCTGGGCATGTTTAGCCTTGAGAAGAGACGGCTGAGAGGAGACATGATAGCCATGTATAAGTATTTGAGAAGAAGTCATAGGGAGGAGGGAGCAAGCTTGTTTTCTGCTGCCCTGGAGACTAGGATGTGGAGCAATGGCTTCAAACTACAAGAAAGGAGATTCCACCTGAACATGAGGAAGAACTTCCTGACTGTGAGAGCTGTTCAGCAGTGGAACTCTCTGCCCTGGAGTGTGGTGGAGGCTCCTTCTTGGGAAGCTTTTAAACAGAGGCTGGATGGTCATCTGTCAGGGGTGCTTTGAATGCAATTTTCCTGCTTCTTGGCAAGGGGTTGGACTAGATGGCCCATAAGGTCTCTTCCAACTCTAGGATTCGATGATTCTATGATTCTAAACTAATGCAGTTGGACCTTAAGCATGCTGAGTAGTCCCCCCAATTCAGAATATGTATGGCTAGTTTGGGATGGTAAGAAATCCCACACTTGCTCAGCAGCCAGTTACAACCCTTTTCAAGTTACTTATTTCAAGTCTCAATGTTTCTCTGGGGCCAACTCCCAGGGCTACGTTTTCCCCAACCAACTCCTCCCAGGATCTCCATCAATGAATTGCCTTGTGTTTATTTTAGTTTTCCCAGAGTAACGTGGCTTGGAAAGGAACGCAGCCTGCAAAGCCCAAATGTAGAGAAGGGCTCTTTGTCGAATTCTAGATGCTGGGAATAGAACAGACAGCACAACGCTCTCCAAGAGGAGCGTGAGAAAACCCGGAGGCTGGGATTGAAGGAAAGGAGAGCTAAAATAGGCTGGATCTGGGGGCGGACAATGAGAACGCCTCTATGGAGCCCAATTGGAGGCATCCCCATGTGCCACAAGTGAACAAGTGACTAGACAGTGGGGTGGGGTTCTGGTGGTAAATGGGAAACTCAGTTGTTTATTTTCTCCAGGGTTATATCGGTGAAACCAAAGGCAGCAATTATGATCTCATTGCTCCTGCATGCAAGCAAGTCAGGCTGCAATATTTCTTTTGGTCTGCAAGATTGCAAATGAGACTTAGGTCTCCAGAGCACTGGGTTGCAACTCTGGAGACCAAGGCCCCTTCTAAACTGCCATACAAAGTCCAGGTTATCTGCTTTGAACTGGACTATATGCCTGTGTAGACTCGTATAATCCAGTTCAAAGCAGATAATGTGGATCATCTGCTTTGATAATCTGGCAGTGGAGCCCTCGGTGGCGCAGTGGGTTAAACCCCTGCGCCGGCAGGACTGAAAACCGACAGGTCGCAGGTTCAAATCCGGGTAGAGCGCGGATGAGCTCCCTCTATTACCTCCAGCTCGTCATGTGGGGACATGAGAGAAGCCTCCCACAAGGATGATTTTTTTTGTCGTGTCAGGAGAGACTTGAGAAACTGCAAGTCGCTTCTGGTGTGAGAGAATTGGCCGTCTGCAAGAACGTTGTCCAGGGGACACCCGGATGATTTGATGTTTTTATCATCCTTGTGGGAGGCTTCTCTCATGTCCCTGCATGAGGATGATAAAAACATCAAAACATCCGGGCATCCCCTGGGCAACGCCCTTGTAGACAACCAATTCTCTCACACCAGAAGCGACTTGCAGTTTCTCAAGTCGCTCCTGACACGACAAGATTC